GGCCCCCATGTTGCGGAGCGGCGGGGTTAAACTTAGGGGTCGGCGGTGGAAGGGGGGGCCGCGACGAGGCGTGGGGCGGGTGCCCCGAGTGCTGCTGAAGGTGCTAGCCATACTTCGGGTCAGCGCCAGCCACTGCTACGCCTGTTGCCGCCGCTACTGCTCCCGCTCCACGTACGCGTCCGCCTGCTGCTGCCGCATGTGCTGTGCCCACTGCTGCTAGGCGCGTTGTTGGTATTTCATGCGCCTCTATCAATGCTATGGGGGAGGCCAACCAGCAGCAAACCAAGAAAGATTTGGACCCTGTTGTGGAGATCGCGCCGAGTAAAGGAGAGCCAGGTTTGGTGCGTGACATGTTTGGTCCGATAGTGAAAGGTCAGCGCCGATGCCTCACGTGCAACAAAGAGTTGAAATGGGGTCAGGGTAACACGCGTGCGGGGGGGAGGCATTACACGAGCAATCATTTTCCTAGAGTTCATGTTAACAGGAGTGGAGTGTTAGCCACGCCCTTGCTTGGGCAACGCCGTCGACTTGGTCGGATGTACGAGAGAAGCAGCCGACCGTTCACTGTGGGAGAGCTGTTCGACGGGCTTCGTCGCGCTGCAGGGGACCGCTGTGGTGTTGCTGTCAACTAGGAAGCTCGACAGCTGCAGCTGACTAGGCTGGGTGACGGGTGGGCCGTCGACCAGGAGGAGCAGTTCGACCAAGAAGTCGACGGAGTAGTCCGTCGACCTGACTAGTGAGCAGCGGTCGACGAGGGGAGCTCGGCGACAACAGCTGACAGTTTAGGTCGACGGAAGGGTCTTTCGACCAGGGGGTAGCTCGATGGGAGTTTTGGTCGACCAGCGGCACTTGGTGTTCGACCAGAGGCACTGGTGGTCGACCAGAGCACCTGGTGGTCGACCAAGTCGACCAGGTAACATGGAGGCACGCGAACGTCGTCGAGGTCGCAGTGACAAAGGCGACTTCGGGCTGGTATCCCGAAGTCGATGTGGCTCACCAGGCACAGACAACAACCGACGGATGCACAACGATGCAAGTCGGGCCAATCGTCTACGCGCACCTGCGAGTGTGCGCACTGCTGTCTTCTGCGGGGCAACGGTGGACAGCCGCTTTGCTGCAGCGTTGGCACGCCATCGACCTGCTACGTTGGCAGGTCGCCTTTCTGTAGTGCTGGCGCGGCTCCTCTACGCAACGTTGGAAGGCGGTCGACCATGCTGTGCTGGGGGTCGACCAGGCTAGCTGTAGAGTTGCTAGGTGCCTAATTTCAGTCATTTTGTCATTGCTTGTTCAATCATTCTGTAATGCAATCTTTGCCTAGTGAAACTCTTGGAAAGTAGCGAGATTCTTGGGATGCGAACGAGGCTTGACAGTTGCTGATATGTCAGTCCCGTGGCATCAAGATCGAGAGAAGTGAGAGACGATAGCGTTGCAAATCTGGGAAGTGTCACGATTGACACGTAACCTAGAAATACTGTGTGCAAATGCTGCAGCTGAAAGAACGAGTTCGGCAACTCAGTATCTTTACGGAAGCAGTGAAGAGAAATCTCCTCCAGCTGAGTACACTTCTGGAAAAGTATATCCAAGCCGGCTTCAGTAATTAGGTCATTCTTGCCTCGACACCCCGTCGGTGTGAACCTGCGACCCACGTGAAGAGCTTTCAGCTTAGGCCGTGAGGAAGCAAGGCGAGCGAGAAAAGCGTCGTCAATCTTGACACTGCCGTCTGTTGAAGAGCGTCGTGACCCGACTTGGATGCCGGGTAATGCGGATGCTGCTGCTAGTGATGGTGAAAGTGGTGGCGAAGGTGGGGGGAGCCGGGCGGGACAGAAGAGAGCACGTGTGGATGGCCCCCATGTTGCGGAGCGGCGGGGTTAAACTTAGGGGTCGGCGGTGGAAGGGGGGGGCGCGACGAGGCGTGGGGCGGGTGCCCCGAGTGCTGCTGAAGGTGCTAGCCATACTTCGGGTCAGCGCCAGCCACTGCTACGCCTGTTGCCGCCGCTACTGCTCCCGCTCCACGTACGCGTCCGCCTGCTGCTGCCGCATGTGCTGTGCCCACTGCTGCTAGGCGCGTTGTTGGTATTTCATGCGCCTCTATCAATGCTATGGGGGAGGCCAACCAGCAGCAAACCAAGAAAGATTTGGACCCTGTTGTGGAGATCGCGCCGAGTAAAGGAGAGCCAGGTTTGGTGCGTGACATGTTTGGTCCGATAGTGAAAGGTCAGCGCCGATGCCTCACGTGCAACAAAGAGTTGAAATGGGGTCAGGGTAACACGCGTGCGGGGGGGAGGCATTACACGAGCAATCATTTTCCTAGAGTTCATGTTAACAGGAGTGGAGTGTTAGCCACGCCCTTGCTTGGGCAACGCCGTCGACTTGGTCGGATGTACGAGAGAAGCAGCCGACCGTTCACTGTGGGAGAGCTGTTCGACGGGCTTCGTCGCGCTGCAGGGGACCGCTGTGGTGTTGCTGTCAACTAGGAAGCTCGACAGCTGCAGCTGACTAGGCTGGGTGACGGGTGGGCCGTCGACCAGGAGGAGCAGTTCGACCAAGAAGTCGACGGAGTAGTCCGTCGACCTGACTAGTGAGCAGCGGTCGACGAGGGGAGCTCGGCGACAACAGCTGACAGTTTAGGTCGACGGAAGGGTCTTTCGACCAGGGGGTAGCTCGATGGGAGTTTTGGTCGACCAGCGGCACTTGGTGTTCGACCAGAGGCACTGGTGGTCGACCAGAGCACCTGGTGGTCGACCAAGTCGACCAGGTAACATGGAGGCACGCGAACGTCGTCGAGGTCGCAGTGACAAAGGCGACTTCGGGCTGGTATCCCGAAGTCGATGTGGCTCACCAGGCACAGACAACAACCGACGGATGCACAACGATGCAAGTCGGGCCAATCGTCTACGCGCACCTGCGAGTGTGCGCACTGCTGTCTTCTGCGGGGCAACGGTGGACAGCCGCTTTGCTGCAGCGTTGGCACGCCATCGACCTGCTACGTTGGCAGGTCGCCTTTCTGTAGTGCTGGCGCGGCTCCTCTACGCAACGTTGGAAGGCGGTCGACCATGCTGTGCTGGGGGTCGACCAGGCTAGCTGTAGAGTTGCTAGGTGCCTAATTTCAGTCATTTTGTCATTGCTTGTTCAATCATTCTGTAATGCAATCTTTGCCTAGTGAAACTCTTGCCGATTCCCCCTGTGAATGTGCAAGCGCTAAGGAACTAAGCAAAGCTACGATCACTCCGCGTACTAAGGGTTGAGCGTGGGATGGATGTATCGCATCACTTGTACCGATGTCCCATCAATATGGCCCGGTATCCCATGCGCTCCATGCCATACCCTCTTATGATGGCACGCGCTTACAATGAATGGGTGACTCGTGCATCACACGTGAATTCTCGTTTGTGCCCATACCCCATCACTATATAGGACCCTATGTCCCATACACTGCATACCTTACCCTCTTTGGAAGGCACATGCTTATAACGAATGGGTAGCACATGCATTGCATGTGGATTCTAACTTGAACACTTATCCCAGCACATATCTATGATCCTATTTCCCATGCACTCCAATCCTTACCCTCTGGCAATGGGCACATGCTATATATGAGGGCCTTGGCTTGTGGGGAAAACATGGGTTATTCCGTTGTTACTAAACCCAATCCGTTTTCCTCTTGTACCATTTCACTCTCCCCCTCCCAGACCAGCATCCCCCGTGCCACATGCGAGGCATGGACAACGATCAGGCTGTCCGATGCTCTCAGGGCACCTCTTATCGAGCTGCGTGATTTCCTCATGCCTTTTGACGCTATCACCAAGTTCTTGGAGGGGTCCTTGTACCCCACCATGGCAGCTGTTGTACCCCAGTACAACATGCTGCTAGATATTCTGGATACGACGTTTCGCATGCCAGGGATCTCGCCACATGGGGGGGGGGGGGGAGGGGGGGGGGGGGGGCGAGGAGGAGGCGATGGCCACCTTTGTCGATCTGCGCCTCAAGACTGCGCCCTTCAGGCTCAGGGCTCGGGGGGCGTGGAGTAACGCGCCCATTGTGGTGGAGGCGAGGGGGCCATGCCAGGGGGGCCCATGCACTCGACCTGGGTGAGGAGAGGGTGAAGGTGCTGGTGCGCGAGTGCCTTCTACAGTACCAGACCGCGGCCCGTGCTGCTGCAGGGGCATGCCTTGGGGGTGAGGTCACTAGCGCTAGGGGAGTGGCGGGGCAGGGCGCGGCAGTCATCGGGGCTGCAGGGCCTAGGGGGGCTAGGGCATGTGGCGTGCTTGAATTTCAGGCTATGCTGTTTGCTGAGCTGGCAGAGATGGAGGCAGAGGAGGGGGTGCGGGCATAGGACAAGGTGGAACAGTACTTGGCTGAGGCGAGGAAAGAGGATTGGTGCTTCTTAGTGTACTGGCGCGGGAGGGAGCAACAGCTGACCGTGCTTAGGGCCATGGCACGCGATTATCTGGGTATACCCTCCACGTCTGCGGTGAGTGAGCGGGCCTTTAGTCAAAGCAGGGACATCACTTGGTGACAGAGGCACGTCCGAGTGCACAACAGGTGCGTGCGGCCATGATGATACAGACATGGCAGGATCATCACCTTGGAGAAAGGCTTCAAATTTGTCCCTAGAACCACACTGGCACAATTGTGTCTTGAAGAAGAGCAGTTCGGGTTGTGATAGACAGTTGATTGTGTAGAGTTGGGGAATTGACATTTGCCTCTGCGTCTTCAAGGGCACCGCATTGTTATACTTATCAGCGACCTCTTTGATTGTGTGGTAGACTGCATTTGCAGTTGCAGCTTCAATTTTTTATTAGCGGCCTATTTTATAATATGGTTGACTGCATGCATTTTGTAGTAGTTGGTCCAAACAAGAACATACAAAACCATGAATCAGTAATGCAGCACATGGAAGCACTAAAAACTATACTTGATATAAGTACTTACAGCATCAGCATATATTATACACTAAAAAAAATAAAAATCCCAAACACACACCTCATTGGCCCCTAAACATGGGCGGGTCAGCCTGTCCCGACCCAACCCGACCCGACCCGGGAGCCTGGGTGGCCCGGCCAGGTCGGGTCGGGTCGGGCCGGGCCGGGCTTGTTGCTCATCTGTACGCCCCCTCCCCGACCGCCCGCCCATGGCCGGCGGATCCTGCCCCGACGGCGCGCCCGCTCCCTGCACGCCCGCCCACCCAGGGCCAGTGGCACGCCCCCTCTATACCCGCCCACGGTCGGGGGAGCCCAGCCCAGCGGCGCGCCCCCTCCTCGCCCGCTTGCGCGCGGCCGGCGGAGCCCGGCCCAGCGGCACGCCCCCTCCTCGCCCTCTTGCCCACGGCCGCCAGAGCCCGCCCCGGCGGCACGCCCCCTCCTCGCCCTCTTGCCCGCGGCCGTCGGAGCCCGGCCCGGCGGCGCGCCCCTACACCGCCCGCCCGCACTCGGCCTCCGAAGCCCGACCCGGCGGCGCGCTCTCCCCCCCCCCCCCTTGCCCTCTTGCCCGCGGCCGGCGGAGCTCGGCCCGGCGGCGCGCCCCTTCACCGCCCGCCCGCCTCTTCAACGTTTGCTCGCCCCTGGCCGCCCAAGCCCGGCCGGCGGCGCCCCCCCTTCCCCAACAGCCCGTCCGTCCAATATCAAACACTCATTCCATCCACTATGTTGCGATGCTTGCAACGTGCTTTTGCATTTCGTCTTTAACCAACCAGCTTGTAGATATTTTCGACCAACTCTTATGATGTTAGTAATTTATTTTTTCTGCCGAAACTGAATTGAACTGGAACCCTTCACTCCTCCCTCTGTTTAGTGCATAAGATTTTGACCGCTAGAAAATCTTATTACTTGTTGAGGCTATCATTTCAAGCTGTCATTTTCGTTGATGATTCGTAGTATTGTTTCTCTCCATATGTTGAGGAGAAGCTGATGTGCACAAGCATAAGCAACCCTACCTACTTATTTTAGTTGATGAGGAATTGTCTTTTGAATATTCATGTCCATATGTTCTTGTTTTCAAAGAAGGCTCATTTGACTCCTTGGTTTCTTGCTGCATGGAGCTTGTCGATGGCGTTATTTGACACGCCAGGTCCAGGCAGAGATGATTCCTTTGATATGATTTATGTCCCGGACTATGCTTAAGACAAAGAGCTTATATATTAGGGATATTGAGTACGCAATCAACACTGAACGTTTAAAAGGAAGATTAAGGTGTATTATATAGGTTCAAGAGAATAGAAACACCGATTGTTAATGATGAAGGTGTTCGGTTGTTTGCGGCCAATTGACGTTAGCAATAAGTTGTTCCCAGCTTCTGTTTTAACCTCACACATTCTCTTCCTACCCTTGAGTTCGGTGTCGTTATCGGGTTTATATGTGAAATGCCATTTTATTTCTTCCTTTCCATTTTCGTTCCTCTCGGTTTTCGAGAAACTGGTTTAATCTTTATTTGCATTTCAATCCGATAATCGTGTGATATATTTTCTAAAAAATGATATTATGTAACTATTTTTTTGTGTGTAACACTTTCTAAAAATGTGTATTTTTGAATAGCAAAGAACTAGGAAGCTTTCACAATATGGATTCTTTATGCATTTCGTGTCAGAACCATATTGTAGGTTGTAGTGGGGTTGACAATATGGGGTACAACACTTTTAGGTTTGCATATTTGTACCCACCTGTTTCCTAGTTCATTCATTCCTCGTACAATTCTCACATGGTATCAGAGCGGGTTCCCTAGTGGGACCTTTTTTTTTTTTTTTTGAAGGGCCCACCACCTGAAAACTATTTTTTCCTGCCTTGCCCGAAGCGCGCCTCGGGCTCTGCCCTACGGGCGCCCTTAGCGGCCTGCCCTGACGTCGCGGCCCTTAGAGGCCCGCCCTGCTGCCCCGCGGCCCTTAGTGGCTCGCCCGCCCCTTCGTCACGGCCCGCCCGCCCCTCCCCTTCGTCGCGGCCCTGAGCGGCTCGCCCACCCCTTCGTCGCGGCCCTTCGCGGCCCGCCCGCCACTTCGTCGCGGCCCTACGCGGCCCTGCCCGCCCCTTCGACGCGGCCCTGCCCGCCCCTTCGACGCGGCCCTGCCCGCCCCTTCGACGCGGCCCTGCCCGCCCCTTCGACGCGGCCCCTACCCTGCAGCAGCAGCCGTCGCCCGCCCATGCTGCCGCCGTCGCGCCTCCAGCCGCCGGAGCGACCGCCGCTGCCGTCGCCGCTGCGGCCCCGCCGTCGCGGCCCTGCCCTACTGCACTGACGCAGCCCTGTGTCAGATTGAACAAGTGTGTGTGCACTAGAAAAGTGGTGGGTACAAGTAAGAAAACCTAAACTTACTGTACCCCATAGTAACTACCCCACTACAGCCTAAACAAACTGTAGAGTATAAGTTTGACACAACCCCATAGGCAAACTGGGGGAGAGCAAAGGGGGGGTCACAAGACCAGTCAAGAAAAGCAAAGCAAGCTCAGGGTGGATCACAACGTCACCACGCATTCTGAGCGCAAGCAGACGGCCATAAGGCCAGTTCACATGCATAGTTATATAGCATAGAACAAACAGGACAGTGATCAAAACCTAGCAAGTGAAAGCATGCAGGTATAGATATATAGATCACAGAACAAGCAAAGTCAAGAAGTGAGCAAGTGAGGCAAGGTAGGCACAAGGCCAAGAACAGTACAGAAACGCTGATGATCACAAGGCGGAAGTGTCAGAATCAAGAAGTGTCTGAACTATGAAAAGTTGGAGTACAAGTAGCAAACCCTAGTTTTGTGTACCCCCTAAAGGCTAACCCACTATAGCCTACACAACAACAACACATATAGTGTTTGACACACCCCCATAGGCAAAGTGGGGGAGAGCAAGGGGTCACAAGACCAGTCAGGAAAGGCAAGCAAGCTCAGGGTGGATCACGACGTCACCACACATTCCGAGCACAAGCAAAGGGCAACATGGCCAGTTCACATGCAGAAGTATATATGCAGTACAAACAGCAAGGGTGATCTCAGTCTAGCAGAACAAACAGGCAGGAGTATATATAGAGATCACAGTACAGGCAAAGCCTACAACAAGTGAGGAAAAGTGGGCACCAGCCCCAGCAAAGTACAGAAGCGCTGATGATCACCAAGCTGAAGTGCCTTGGTGAATATATCAGCGGTGTTGGCCTGAGAGGCCACGTAACGCAGACGAAGCTGACCACGCTGCTGCAGCTCTCGAGCAAGAAAGTAACGGAGAGCGATGTGCTTCGTTCTGTGCTCCAGTCTGTGCTCCTCACACAAGGCAATGGCAGCCTTGTTGTCGACGTACAGCACTGGAGGAGAACTAGGCCTCTCTCCAAGGTCGGTCAGCAGGTAGGTGAGCCAGCGTAACTCCTGTGCAGCCATGGCTGTGGCGTAGATCTCAGCCTCACAACTGGAGCTGAGAACTGAAGACGAACGCGTAGAGCGCCACGAAACTGAACCAGAACCAAGGCTGAAGGTGTAACCGTGTGACGACCGCTGAGTAGCCTGGTCGTCAACCCAAGAAGCGTCTGAGTGCCCAGTGAGAACAACTGAGCTCCCTCCTCCAAGCACGAGCCCCATGCCCGATGTACTGCACAAGTAGCGCAACACCCTCTTTGCAGCATCCCAGTGCACCTTTCGGTGCCTGCCAGGAGCTACGTAGCGGGCCAGAAGGCCAAGAGGGTATGCTAGGTCAGGACGAGTGCAAGTCATCAGGTACATGAGGCAACCAACTAGCTCTGGGTAAGGACCACTCGACTCTACGGACTCATCCGAAGGCAGAGCTGAGAGCGAGTGACCTACAGCCAGAGGAGTGGCCTGTGCTGAGGACCAGGTGAAGCCGAAGCGCTGAAGGACCTGCTGCACCATGTGTGACTGAGTCAGGGTAATGGTGCGGCGTGCTCTGTCCCGGGTGATCTGCAAGCCAAGGTAGCTGCGCAGTTCACCCAGGTCTGTGCACGTGTGTCTCTTCTGCAGCTCCGACTTCACGTGGGCGAGAGCCTCAGTGTCAGCAGTGGCAAAGACCAAGTCGTCGACGTACACGAGGATGTAGAACGGCGGCAGCGAAGTGTCGGTGCGTAGAAAACGCGGTCGGGTCAGCAGTAGAAGGAGCGAACCCAAGTGCCGCAAGAGTAGTCCTCAGTGTGTCGTGCCACTCACGTGGTGCCTGGCGGAGACCGTAGACCGGCCGCCGGAGGCTCCACTGGGTACCAGGAGGAAACGACCCAGTGAAGCCAGGAGGGCGGCGCAGCCAGATCTCCTCGTGCAGACTGCCCTGCAAGAAAGCTGTGCTGAAGTCAAGAGAGTGAAGCTCGTAGTCACGCTGAGCAGCAACGTGCAGTAGTACCCGAAGAGTGGTCATCTTCAGGGTGGGGGAGAAGGTCTGAAAGAAGTCTACTCCCTCTCGCTGACTGAAGCCTCGAGCAACGTAACGAGCCTTGAAGACAGGCGGAGAACCCGGCGGCCGCTTCACCCTGAAAATCCACATGCCACTGACGATGTTCGCCCCAGGTGGGGGAACCTCGTCGACGTAGGTGCCTGTGGACTTCCAGGAAGCCATCTCTGCGTCCATGGCTGACTGCCACTGTGAGGAGTAGGGACCCTCGATCGCCTCAGCGTACGATCGAGGAGTCGGGATGTCTGGTGCATCCGGGTCTCCCTCAAGGGCAATCAGCATGGACACGAGATGGGGCGCAGCGGCTGCAAGACACTCAAGGTCCTCCTGTCTGTCCTCAAGGACGTCCGTGCCTAGAGCACACTCACCCCCGACGGACGGAGGACAGACAGACTCAGACTCAGCAACAAGACTGGCAGCGTAGTCTAGACGACAGCGAGCAGCAAAGTCGACAAGCTCAGCAACTAGGGCAGACGCAGCAGTCGACTCAAAGGAAGGGTCAGTGACAGCAGTGGCCAGGAGACGCGTGACAGTAGGACTAGCAGCACGAACGGAGTCAGACTCCGGGTCAGCAAGGGCAGGAAGAGAGGACGGAGGAGGAGACGGCAGAGGGACACGCTGTGGAGCAGTGGAGGGACGCAGTGACATCCGGTGTGTGCCAGGGACAGGTGGCGGACGCTCACGTGGTACACCACGACTAGCGCAAGAAGTGCGAACAGGTGACACTGGACGGGACACAGGCGACACAGGACGAGACTCAGGCTCACGACGCTCTGTAAGACCGCCTGTCGGACCAGTGTAGGGAGGAGGACCAGGAAGCGGCGAGGCAGGCGGTAGCTGTGACTGCGACTGGACAGGCGGAGGACACTCTACGGAGGGGGGAGGACTAGGAGGAGGCGGCTGACCAAGAACCTGCTGAAGGAGTGGAACGAAGTACGGCCGCGGCCGTGAAGTGCCCCCAGCAGCAGCAGAGACAGCACCAGAACCTCCAGCAGCTCCAGCAGAACCTCCAGCAGCTCCAGCAGCACCTCCAGCACCTCGAGTGCCTCCAGCAGCTCCAGCAGAACCTCCAGCAGCTCCAACAGCACCTCCAGCACCTCCAGTACCTCCAGCAGCTCCAGCAGAACCTCCAGCAGCTCCAGTAGAACCTCCAGCAGCTCCAGCAGCACCGTCAGCACCTCCAGCAGCACCAGCAGCACCGCCAGGAGCTCCAGGACCTCCGGCAGCGGTAGCGTCTCCAGCGGGCGGTACCTCAACACCAGGAGCTCCACTCCGGGGGCTGCAGCGCCGAGCGTACCACTCACGCAGCCGCTGAGGGGAGGGAGGCTCCGGCTGCGACACGGCACCCGCAGGACGACTAGCCCCAACTCCAGCAGACCCCCCAGCTCCAGGAGCCCCACGACGAAGGCTGCAACGCTGGGAGTACCACTCACGCAGCTGCTGTGAAGAAGGAGCGCCAGCAGGCGCAGCACGGTCAGTCTCAAAGCCCCCAGCCTCAGTCCCTCTAGGCGCAACACCCCCAGTCGCAGCACCTCCAGGCTCAGCACCCACAGTCTCCGCACCCCCAGACTCAGCACCCCCAGTCTCCGCACCCGCAGTCTCAGCACCCCCAGGCTCAGCGCCCCCAGACCCAGCACCCCCAGGCTCAGCGCCCCCAGGCCCAGCACCACCAGGCTCAGCACGCTCAGTACCTCGCACAGGACCAGAGTCAACAGCTACCTCGACAGGCTCGACCGGGTCTACCTGGGAAACACCTGAGGGA